AGGTTGGGGGGGGGAGGAGGAGTGTGGGACGGGTCACACTGGGGGTTTTAAATATTGGGTTGGGGTTGTTACGAGCAGCCCGGGCTTGTTTTTGGGACTAGCTGTTTATTACTGAACAAAACTATAGAGAGGGTGTACAGTCATGAACTAGCAGACTAGACCGAGCCACTTTAAAGATTTACAATTTCGTTGCCTTGTATCTGAATTGGATACAAGCTTATGTTTGTTGCAAGATTTTTACTTGCTAATGAAAAGTTGTTTTAAATAAAATAATAGGAGAAAAGCAACAGACAGCGTTTTGGCCTCTGATTGTTTATATCTTTTTATAAATTTTAGATTGAATTCCTCTCTTTAAGGTGGCTCATTGATGCTTTCAACTCTTGTGCATATTAAAGACAAGGATGAGTTGAAAATCATTGTGCCTTTTGTTTTTCATTTCAACTAAAACTAGGGTTTTATTGAATAGAAAAAAAAATCTTTGAGCAACTGGAGAATTTTGAAGTGGGAGATGTGGCTGCAGTAATATGTGGTCTCCCTGTTGTTGGAGTTTGCCATGGGAATGGTCAATGCTGCTCTCTGCTGTTGAGAGTAACTGCTACCCTCCAATCTTATTCACTGAACATTGTAACACCATTTCTCCCACTCATTACACCCACCCTCCCCCCTTTCCTCCCAGAACACCACAGACCATCATTACCATTATTTCAGGGGATTTTGATCTCATCTCATCTCACCCTCAGGACATGATCTGTGTTTCTGATCCTAACCAAAATAAACTTGCTGTTTAGCCGTTGGATCCTCCGTGCTTGCAAGTGTTGTGATTACATACAGTAGCTGTTAGTCAAATTTAAGTTGTATGAGCGTGGATGTGAAAGAAGCTTTTAACAAGGGTGGGTTTAAAGTGTTTTATGTGTGAGAGAGAAACACATTTTTCCCCCTAGAGCTCACAACCTTTTTGTTCCTGAATTTGTTCTCAAGACCTGCATGGCTCCCTTTTCCAGGTATAAGAACAAACTGACTATCATAAAATTGTAAGTGCTTTTACTCCTATCATTGTTCTTCTGTGGCACATCCTTTACATTACAGGTGAGATCTGGCAGCATCTAATGGGCAGTCGTCTGCTGCTAATGGATCTCAATTATTCTCTTTATTCGCGTGATGATGTTTGTGAATTTTCCTGAAGCCCGGGCACATCAGTCTGGCTGCACAGGTGATTCCAGGCCAGGGCAGACTTGGTGCTTTGTGTTTAAAAACATCAAGCGTACAGTGGACACTTAAAATGGCCCATTGTGTAATGAACATATTTGTTTTGGAAGTGGCACGGTTTCCGTCCGCTGGTAAAGGGAAGGTGTTTGTGTGTTGGTGAACACATTGACTCGAGGGCAATGATTAACTTGGCCTGAATTTGGGTTTCCTGCAGAGTCTGTAACAAAAACATGTTGAATTGGCCTCCACAACATCAATGCTGACTCCAGATCCAGATCTCCCAGGTGGACTGTGTGGACATTTGATTGGTTACAATTTTGGAGGGAATATGCAATACATGATAACATAAAAGCGCCTGCATTTTAACCTAATCATTAAGACCTATACGCCTTTATAAAAATGTAAAGGGTTAATAGCTTTATTTTTTCTGATTTCATGCTCACATTGTGCAATTTCCAGAGTTAATATTCCATCAGAGAAAGTCCAAGTTAAGAATTTAAGTTCATTCCTGAACATTATTGTCCACTCAATAGCTGTTCTGGAGCTTTCGGCTGTCTTACACAATACTCCTCCTGTGCAGGTGCCCAGTTGTCACTGAACTCCCTCTGCTGAGGAAGATCATGTGAGATGACTGAAAGCTCGTGTCAACATCTGCACATATTAATCATCCTGTACAGTGAAACTAAAACGCCAAAGTGAACAATAAGAAAAACTCACATTTGAGTGGAAAATGTGTCTCAAGTCAAAATACATCCTCCAGGTATCTTGTCACCAGAACCACTGAACATACATCTCTATGACAACTGAGCGTCCACCACCTGCTGAGGAAGATCTTGAGATGTGGTAGAAAACTCCGGATAAAGCAGATGGGTGGACCTTGAGTCTTCAGTGTACTAAACGGATCTTTATGTACAAAATTGGTGAAATTGCCCTTTAACAGCTTCGCGGACTGGATCCAGAGTATGGCGTTGCTCGAGTCTGGGCTCGATTATTTTGGTCTTCGAATCACGTGACATTATTTTTCTCCGCACTTCCGCAAATAAGCGTCAGAGCAGCGAGTGTGTGAGCTTCAGCAGAAAGTGAAAACACAGACACACACACACCGCTACCGACCCGTGTGACATGGTGACGCCGTGGGCCAGAACCCACACCACAGACACAGCTCTTTAACAGGTGGGACATGCTCATGTTATTCTTCTGTAGCTTTGAAAGTAGTCGATAAAGCTGTCTTTCTCCTCCCAGGCTAAATGTGTTAACGGTAGCCAGCTGGAAAGAGAGTTAGCTTATGTTAGATTAGAGAGACTTTCCAAACGGATCAGTCTAGTAGCAACTCGGTTCACTTGGCTGTGTTGTGTCAGCTGGACAGTTTGCTGAATAATGCGTTTGTAACAATGGCCAACATTAGCCAGCGAGCTAACTGTGTTCATTTAACAGTGAAGTGGCCCATGTTTGCTCTGTGTGTGTGTGTGTGTGTAATATAACACATTACACAGGAGCAGTGGGTCTTGTGAGCTGCTGTGGATTTAGCAGTGTTGTTACAACACATAAAGCCACTGTGACCTAGACTTTCACCAATTATATACCAAATGTTGTTTTCACCAATAACCGTGTTCAGTCAGACAGAAACAGCTTGTCTATGGTCTGAAGAGAGAGCAGATGTTACACTGTTTACATCTGATAGTAGAGTTATGGTAAAGTGTACAAAGGCAGCAGCTGTCTGTCAGAGGTCAGAGCTTCAGGACTTAAGCTGGTGAAGTTATCAGGTAACAGTTTTAATCGTTTTGAATCTTTCAGTTTGATGTTTGACAGTGAATTTGTGACTCCCTCATATCAGTTATAGTTATATATAGTTTCATTCTGAGAAATGACATCCAAGTGAGTTTTATTTGAATATTGGGTGAACCAATATACTACACATTTGGCGGTTAAATTGTGGATAACTACTATATAGGTATACTATATGTATTAGTCTATATTATATTTATTTATATATGTATGAACACGTAACGAAGACAAACAATCGGTACAAAAATCAATACTCCTCTGCCTCTGTACGTTAAATTCATTCTTAAATTATTTTGCGAAGTCTTCAATATATATTTGCCATGTATTGTTAACTATAAGACTGAGGAAATAAATAGATATCACTCTGAGAATTTTGAAGCACTTAAGACAAAAACTTTAAGGAGCTTAATACATACCGGCCCTGATCTGTTTGAGCTAATGTTGCACCACATGACCCAACTTCTCTCTAATCTCCTCGGCAAAATCAGCTGTGGGTTTAGCATGGTTTCATTGCATTGACTGAATGAATGTTCATAGAGGTTGTCTTTGATGCTCCCTGACTCTGAATATTTTCAAACCCACTCACAACAGTGTCTGCATCACTGGCAACGTTGCCTACTCACCCCCTCCCCCTGCCCCTTTCGCCTGCCATGCCTTTGGATTGAGGTGCTCTCCCTCCAGGCCACCTCACCCACAGACTGACAGTGAGTGCATCATGGTTGATGTAACCAAATGGCCCCTTTTCAGCCTGATGGGGCCCCAGGAGCTCTCTGCAATACGGAAAGCTTGCGTGTTTGGAATGTCTGCTAATGAGGCCATCTACATCACCAACGATGATGAGGTGAGAGGTCGGAGGGAAAACCGTGTACAAGGGAAGTCATTTGCTGACTTTTATTGGTAATGTGAGGCTTCCAGGGTTGCTTAAGAAATTAAATTAAGAAGTATGTCACCTTAACTCCTTTTATAATGCAAAAATAAGTCAGTGTTATGCTTACAGCTTGTTCTGCTGCCCCCAAGTGGCCAGAAAATCAAGAAACGCAGCCTCACTACAGATTTGAAAGTGGTCTGCAGAAAGGCTTGTGCACATTTAGAAAAGCATAATGTGAATTCAGGAGTTTCCTGCTTCAATAGGTCTCCATATGTTTAACCTTCATTGTAAATCTTTTGTTAAAGAATAGATCAGCAGTAGTGTGTATGCAGTTGCCAAACCTTTACAATGGTTCTTTTAGATATCAAAATAAACAGTGTGCCAGTGCTCCCGTCCTTGCTTGTCACCTCTGTGTATCAGTGCTGTTGTTACTACTACACTCTTATCTTTGTGTGTCTGGAATGTGACCTGCTACCTACTCGGCTGACTGGGGCTGTCTTTGCTTAGCCCTGCTTATCTCTGATCCACATTACATGTTCTCTGGTTTGTCCCTCCTCTCTCCACACTCAGGTGTATGTGTTTGGGTTGAACTGCAGTAACTGCCTGGGAACAGGCGAC